GGTTGGCAGGAGCTGGGCCAAGGACAGAAGCTCACCCCATCACAACATGCTTGGGTCTTGAACTGCCCACCTTCTGGTCCTCAGGCCCAGTGTCTTAACCACTAGGCCACTTTAGCCTTCCCTAACTCAAATAACCCTAACATTTGTGTATCTCAATTCCCAGAAGTCTCGATAATGAAGAGTTCTGAAACAGGAAACCCACATTCATTTGGAGGCAATGCTAACTAAGAAATGTATGTTTGATCACATTTTTTTTTAAAAAAAGAACTAATATTAGAAAAGATGTAAAAATAACTTTAAAAACAAAATACGGAAGAAAGCAATATTGACAGGACCATTTGAATGTTTAGCGTTCCTGGTGAGTTGAGTTCTGAAATCTCTTAAGATGACAAAAGATCTTTTGAGCTGAAACCTTTAAAAAAATAAATTGGTGGTCTTGAAAGATTTAGTCCATTTAATATTTTCTGTTCTTGCTATACACAAGAAACCACAGGAATACAGAACAGTGATCGGTACAACTATGCTGAGTTTCAAAGGAGCCCTTTGAATTAATGAATCTTCCATCTCTGCATTTGTTCAAAGCATGTCCAATGGTAGCAAAACATTAATGGTGGTATGTAACTTTGATCCAAGATTTATTTTATTTTATTTATTTATTTATTTATTTATTTATTTATTTATTTATTTATTTATTTATTTATTTATTTATTTATTTATTTGATGTGCCAATTGTTTACAAGATAATAAGTATAAGTGTATACATAGTTGTGAATACATGAAATGGGTACATATAAGAAAAATAAAAGAAGAATAAGAGAAACAATAGGACAGGGACGGTAGGCATGTTGGTGCGCTTATGCACGCCCCCTACAGACCTCTTAGGAAAGGGGTGAGGTCAATAGTAGACAGTCTAAGGTTAAAGTTTTTGGGGTTTGGGGAAGAAACTACAGAGTCGGGTAGAGTATTCCAGACATTGACCACTCTATTGCTGAAGTCGTATTTCCTGCAATCAAGTTTGGTGCGGTTAACTTTGAGTTTGTATCTATTGTGTGCTCTTGTGTTGTTATGGTTGAAGCTGAAGTATTCATTGACAGGTAGGACATTGCAATGTATGATTTTATATACCATGCTTAAATCAGACCGAAGACGGCGTAATTCAAGGTTTTCTAGTTCTAGAATTTCAAGTCTGGTGGCATAAGGTATTCTACAACGAGTAGAGGAGTGGAGAACTCTTCTTGTGAAATATTTCTGGACTTTCTCAATTGTGCTAATATCAGATACGTAATGTGGGTTCCAGACTGATGAACTGTATTCGAGTATTGTGCTAGCAAATGTTTTGTATGCTCTGGTTAGTAGTGTGATGTTACCAGAGAAAAAGCTACGTAGGATTAGGTTAACAACTCTTAATGCCTTTTTGGCTATGTAGTTGCAGTGGGCTCTACCACTTAGATCATTAGAGGTGAGTATTCCAAGGTCCTTTACAGAGCTTGGGTCATCAACAAGATCTTGACTATTCAGCTTGTATTTTATTTTCTGATTTTTTTTGCCAATATGTAAGACAGAGCGTTTATTTGTTGAGATTTGAAGTTGCCATTTGTTTGACCATTCTGATACATAGTCAAGATCTTTTTGTAGGGTAGCAGTATTGTCTGTGGTATTGAACAGCTTTACATCATCAGCGAAGAGAACGCAATTGCTCTTAATATGATCACAGAGGTCATTTATGTAGAGTATGAAGAGAGTTGGTCCTAGAACACTGCCTTGGGGGACACCACTATTGACAGGTACAGAATTTGATAGGACGCTCCCAATTTTGACCATTTGTTGTCTGTTTGCCAGGAATGCTTCTATCCAGTTATTCAGTTGTCCAGAGATACCATAGGATTTTATTTTTAGGAGTAGTTTGTCGTGTACCACTGAATCAAAGGCTTTACAGAAGTCTATGTAGATTGCGTCTATTGCTTTGCCCTGGTCGAGTTGTGTCGTCCATATGTTTTTGCAGTGTAAGAGTTGCAGATTACAGGATAGTTTTTTTCTGAAACCAAATTGTTTATTGGAGAGTAGGTTGTTTGTCTCTAAGTGAAGGATGATGGATTGGTTAATAATTGATTCCATGACTTTACAGGTGATGCAGCATAAGGAGATTGGTCTGTAATTTTCAACTAGGCTTGGGTCTCCCTTTTTGAAGATGGGGATGACTGTGGCTTGTGACCATAGGTTAGGCAAGGAGCTGGTCCTGAAAGATTTTTCAAAGATTATGCTTAGAGGTTTGGCTATGGCAGTGGATAGCTTTTTTAAGAAGTAGGCACATATTCCATCCGGTCCAATAGATAGAGATGGTTTTAGATTGCGTAGTGCTTTTTCAACATTGTCTTCTGTAAAATCGATATGTATTAGATCATTGTTGTTATCTGTGGTACGGCTAGGAAATACTGGGCATGATCCATTGCTGTTTACAAATACTGAGCCGAAGAATGTGTTAAAGATGTTGGCTTTAATGGTGTCGTCGTTGCAGTCTTTACCATCAGGTCCTATCAGGGGTGGGATGGACCTTGAGTCTTTTAGTTTGTTGTTTACAAAATTGTAAAAAGCACGGGTGGAATTAAAAGGATGATTAAAAGGGGCTTTGGTACATGGGGGCACATGTTCCATAGCCTCCTTTTGCTCAGAATATAGGGATGGGTAAAATCAGAGGTAGCATTCAGCAGGTTCTGACCAGTTCTGGAGAACCGGTAGCAGAAATTTTGAGTAGTTTGGAGAACCAGCATACGCCACCTCTGACTGGCTCCACCCCCATCTATTCTCTGCCTCCCAAGTCCCAGCTGATCGGCTGGGTCTTCTTTGGTTGCCCTGCACAGGAGAACGGAGCTGGAAAGCAGGTTAGTAGGGTGAGGAGGGAATGGGATGTTACACTATCCCTCCCCTGCCACGCCCACCAAGCCATACCCACCAAGCCATGCCCACAGAATCGGTAGTAAAAAAAATTTGAATCCCATCACTGAGTGATTCACTTAACAAGCATGGTAAGAAAGGATGTAAAATGGGGCCAAATTCACTTAACAAGTGACTCCCTTAGCATCAGAAATTATTCTGTTATTATCTCACTTTTCCCCCCCTAACATGGTATTTCTAACCCGATCATTGTGGCTGACATAGAGGAAAAGCTGCCCAGTTCCAGCTTAGCTTTTAAATGAATCTTTGAATGCTGGGGTAATCAACCATGCTTAAAAGTCTGAATTAGATTGGTGGTCATTTCTCACTGAGTGCTCTCCCCTTTAAAACACTGGGATCTTAAGAACTCAGCTATTATGTTCAGTTAGTGCAGTTGGCTAAGAGTGTAAAGGTTTATTTATTTATTGGTTTTCCTTAAAAGCAACGTGTTTATCCCTCCCATGTTTCTTCATAAACAAGACAGAAAGAATTTGAGATTAAAAGACTATGAAAGTGGGAAGAAGTGAAACGGATACATTTCCTCACCCAACACTTTTTATTAAGAAAGCTTTTCTCTTATCACACCAGAAACTGCAATTTACTCCTCCTATTGAGCAACAGACAATACTGTCAGTTCATTTTGAGTTCTTCATTTGGTTCACCACAATGTGTTTCTGCCTGCTGCGTACCAATTTTGGGGGAGGAGAGGGGGGGGGGAGAAAAGAAGCAATCACATGTATATTAGCATACAATCTTTGCATAACTTTCCAGCAGCCACCCCATTTTCCCCCACATTTTCCCACAATAAACCACATTGGTGCATACTTTATGTATTCATGTCTGTCCATCTGTCCATCCATTTATCTCTCTCCCAGATGAACATGTTCTGTGTGTATATTTTGAATTGTGCATTAAGTTGGGATTTCTGAAGGGTATAGATTTTGGCACTTAAAAAAAAAAAACATTGGCAAACCCACTATTTCTCTAGAAAAAAAGCCCATAATTGGGTTTTTCATTCTGCTGTATGCATCCCTCTTCTTCTCTAAACATTAGAGAAATTCATTTGCCATACCAGTTAAAGTACCTTTCAACAAATCTTCACCCCTTATCCTCCCACTTTTTGAAATAAAGAAATCACTTTTAGTTTAATGTCAATTCATGGATCAAATAAAACTTTTAGAACTTAACACAGCAGGGTCTTTCCTTCCTTCCTTCCTTCCTTCCTTCCTTCCTTCCTTCCTTCCTTCCTTCCTTCCTTCCTTCCTTCCTTCCTTCCCTTCCCTTCCCTTCCCTTCCCTTCCCTTCTCCTCTTTAACCTTCCTTCCTTTCCTTCCCCTCCCTCCCATTCCTTCCCTTCCCTTCCTTCCCTTCCCCTCTGTATCCTTCCTTCCTCCCCTTCCCCTCCCTACCCTTTCCTTCCCCTCTGTACTCTTCCTTCCCCTCCCTACCCTTCCTCCTGTACCCTTCTTTCCTTCCTTCCTTCCTGCCTCCCATCCATCCTTCCTCTCTCTTACCTACCTACCTACCTACCCACCCTTCTCTACCCTACAAATGGTTTCAAGTAATGAAATATTTAGATATGTGCTTCTTCTGCTCTATTTGAGTTGGAGGTTAAGCAAAGCAGGGGCGCATAGGCACAACAGCTCCTGTAGCTGTTTGTTTGGACTTGTTTGAAGGAATTCATCCAGAGCTGTATAGAACGACGGCGGTGAAATTGTGTTGTTTTTTAAAAAGAGGAGGAGGAGGTCTTCCCAGTTGATATGGCATCCGATCAGTCTCCCAGGGCTGCTCCCACGGGGTCGCTCTTCTTTACCCTGCAGCCTCCGCAGACAAGATCGCCAAAAAAAAAGAAAAAAAGCACAAGCTCCCGAAGCGACGCGGCTGATATTTTCGCATCCCGTCTTGTCGTTTTGGGAAACCGTGGTCGAGTGAGTCACTTAGGACCCCGGAGAGCTTTCAGCTAGTGCAGGAACAAAAGCTGGGTGCCCACTGAGCATGTGCACAACCGAGTCTGCTCGCTCTTAAGGCTCGGTTAGTTACTGATATAAACAGCTGAAGGTATTCAAAGGCTGAGTTTCGAGACCCAGCCAGAGCCGCCGAAGAGGAGATGCGGGTGGATTACAGCTTCTGCGGGCTTCCACCGGACTGGCAGAAGAAGGATTAAGTCAAGGGCACCTCCGAAAGATCTGCTGTTGTTTTTTCCCCCCCGACGTTGAGTTCCAGTTTGAGGCTGCCTGCTTTGCCAGGGACTTTTCTCGCTTGCAGAATCGGAGTTTGGAATATTGTTTTCCAGAGGTGAGTCTTTTTCCTCCTTCCTTTCTTCCTGGCACATGGGGGAAAGCTTGGCACGTTCCTATAGCCTCCACTGCTTGACTCGGGACCGGAGAACTTTTCCGGGCTTCCTTCGCCAACAGATTTCCTTTTCTCTCCCCCCCCCCCCCCCCCCCCCCCCCCAGCCTTGAGGGATTGCGTGTCTTTTTATTTTTTATTTAATACAGGAGGCAGCATCTCTCACGGAAGGATAAAAACCATCGGGGGCTCATTCCAAATGTGAGGGGAGAGGAGACGGACGCGGCGGTCTCACGAAGAGGTTGGGTCGTTAGTGGATCAGGATCAGAATAGATCTGGAAGAGGGACCCTTGGAGGTCTTCTAGTCCAACCCTCTGCTCAAGAAGGAGATGGGTTTCATCTCTCGTATGTAGGACACCAAGGGAGGCGTTTGGAAGGACCAATTTGTATCTGGGTCTATTGCCCAAAGAGGAGGTTTGCCTGGTCAGGTTTCCGAGGGGAAAAACAAACAAAACATCAGGTAGAATCCACTTTCTCTTCCAAGCGTCCTTCTTGATGCCCAGATATATTTTCCAAGACTTTATAAATAACGTCTTTCGCTTTGGGGGCTCGATTGCTGGAGGGGAATGTCTGCTGGCATTTTGGGTGCTTTCAACTCTCAGGCCTTTTTCAAAGATGTATTGGAAACCTTGTCCTCTCACGCTGAAGAGAGCTGCTTCTCTGAAATTGGTGTTATGCAAAGCTTTTTTTTCTAGGGGTTCTCTCTTCGGGAGAGAAACTTATTCCTTCATCTCTGAAAATCCTATTGGCTTGCCAGGAAGTATTTCCCAAACAGTTCCAGGAAGATCCAAAGTGAGAGTATTATTATTATTATTATTTTAAAAGCTCAGTTTTCCTTAAATTTGATAAGAATTCTTCAGCGGTCTTCCTTCCCCTTTTTAATGTTGATATAAAAGACAATAGAGCACAGATGGTCATAAGTATACCGAAATACACACACACATCAAAGCTCAAGTTTATTTCTGTAAACGCAGAGTTTAAATCTTGTGCTAGAGCATATTTTTCACACCATAATCTTCAAATGTTGTGATTGACTCACAATGGATTGTTGTAAGACTGCAGGAAGCAAGCCTAGAGTTCTACTTTAGAAGGGAGGAAGGAAGGAAGGAATTCTTCCCTTCCACTTCAGTCAGTCTCTTTATTTCTCCAGGGTAACAGCAATGTTTTTGAAAGTAATTCCAAGAATATCTTTCCTTCACCAAACCTCCCTTTTCCAATGAAACCCTGGCTATGATGAATATAGAAATCTCAAATTGTTCTTGATGGTAGTACCCATGACCAGTGCAGGTTCAGTTTGATATAGTTTCTCTACAGTACCATGTTTATTTACTGCTTTTCACCATCTCCTTGGGCATCCTTGCAAGCAATTTCTTGCATTTCCATGGGGGTATCTGCCTTCCTTCCACTGTCCTGCTCCACATATTCTCCGTAGCCCCTGATTGCCCTATGCCACTTCAGTATCTATTGGATGCCCTTTAAGTCATCAAGGCTTGCCTGTTCATGCAGCTGAATGTTAGCTTTTGATCCTCAGAAGAAGGAAACAAAGCCACTTAGGTCATTAAACTGAGAGGCTGTTATTACCCAAGACAAATTGAAATCAAATTGGGTTTCCCAAGAGGACGTAGGTCCACCAATAACTATTCTTTCTAAAGGCTCTAGGACATTAAGGATGTTAAGAGCAATAATTGCCTATTTCCTTTAGAACAGAAAGATACAGTCCACCAGTACAGTCTGAGTCATAGCACGGGTGGTGGAAATATACAGGATGTCCTCAAAACTTTTTATACAAAACAACATGTGCTTGAGAAAGGGGTAGTAGGCACACATCCTTTCCTGGGAGGGGGTGGGTGGGGGAGGAAGGAAGCCGGGTGATAGATGCATGAACAAAAAACAGTTATGAAGAAACAGCATGCCAAGCAAAGTGTATATTAGGAAACTTTGTGTACAAAGATATGTTGGGGAAATTGCATAGAAAAAGGTGGCCCGATTTGATGTGCATGTATGGGATAGGGATCGGTGCAGGTATAGATTCAAGCAGGAAGATAAGGAGAGAATAATAAGTAAATATACAAAATGTGACTCAAAATGTATTTGCAATAAACCCAATGTCCCTGTGTCAAGAGTCAAAGGGAGCATGTGATTTGCCAAACAGGTAAGTAAGCAGTAGGTAATCGTGTAGAGCAGTGTTTTAAGATCGTATCTGGAATACTGCATCCAGTTTGTCACCATATTATAAAAATATAGAAATTCTGGAAAAAGTGCAGGAAAGAGCAATAAAGATGATTGGGAGGCTGGAGGCTAATGCGTATGAAGAACGGTTGCAGGAACTGGGTATGTCTAGTCTTAATGAAAAGAAGGACCAGGGGAGACATGATAGCAGTGTTCCGAAATTTGAGGGGATGTCACAAAGAAGAGGGGATCAAGCTATTCTCCAACGCACTTGAAGGCAGGACAAGAAGCAATGATTGGAAGCTGGTTAGAGAGAGATCCCAACCTAGAACTCAGGAGAAATTTCCTGACAGTGAGAACAATTAACCAGTGGAACTGCTTGCCTTTAGAAACTGTGGGAGTTCCATCACTGGAGGCTTTTAAGGAGAGACTGAACACCGACTTGTCTGGCATGGTGTAGGGTCTCTTGCTTGAACAAGGGATTGGACTCCCAGAATAATGATGCGAGGTTGAATTTGGGTCAGTCACTGGGACCAGAGAGAGAGTGGATTACAGGTAATCCTTGACTTACAGCCGTTCATTTAGTGACTGTTCAAAGTTACAAGAGCACTGAAAAAATGTGACCATTTTTCAAAGATACGACCTTTGCAGCATCCCTACGATCGTAGGGATCAAAATTTGGATGCTTGGGAACTGGTTCATATGTATGACTGTTGTTGTATCCCAAGGTGATTCCCCTGTTGTGGAGCCAGATTCACGAAACAACTGTCAACTGGCTTACTAACTTATCAGCTCCAGTAATGGGGCAAGACCCATTTAACAAGTGTCTCACTTAACCACATAAGTTTTGGGCTCAATTGTGGTCATAAGTCGAGGACTACCTGTATTTAGCCTTCCACTCTTTTTTAAATCCTGGTTTAGTTTCCTCTTTGCAACCTTGCAGAGCTTCCTGCAACTCTCTTCTAATTTTGTTCACTTGTATCTTTCCCTTTCTGATGTTCATAAAATACATTAAAATGAAATAAATATTGCTCCTGCCCATCAGATAAAAGCTAAATTTTTGACCGCCACTGTAATCTGATTTTTCTTAAGAAGAAAAAGACCTGGTCGTTTAAAGATGGGCATTTGGTTTCTTTGCCCATTGTTAAAGCATTATGTATGCCTCAGTCATGCTCAGTCAGGAGTGCCAGCTTGGTGCAGTGATTAAAGGTACCAGGTTAGCAACTGGGAGGTTGGGAGTTCTAGCAACTGGGAGGTTGGAGTTCTAGCCCTCTCTTAGACACAAAGCCAGCTGGGAAGAAATGATGGGAAAAATCACATTCTGCCTAGAAAGCTACAGAAACCTCTCCATGTAATCATTAGGGGTCAAGATTACAGGCAGTCCTTGGCTCACAACTGAGTCATTTGTGACTCAGCCAAAGTTAAGATAGACCTTTAAAAAAGCTATCCTTGAAGTTACGACTGCTACCCAGAGGTGGTGTTCAGCAGGTTCTGACCTGTTCTGGAGAACCAGTAGCGGAAATTTTGAGTAGTTTGGAGAACTGGCAAATCCCACCTCTGACTGGCCCCGCCCCCATCTATTCTCTGCCTCCCGAGTCCCAGCTGATTGGCTGGGTCTCCTTTTGTTGCCCTTCACAGGAGAACGGAGCTGGAAAGCAGGTTAGTGGAGTGGGGAGGGAATGGGATTTTACAGTATACTTAGTTATACTAAGTTAAGATAGACTTTTTCAAAAGCTACTTATGATCCATCCTTGAAGTTACAATTTCTTACCCTCTCCCTATAGTCACGTGATTATATTTTGGACACTTGGCTCACATTTATGATTAGTTGTAGCATCCTACAGACATGTAACTGCAGTTTGCAATTTTATTTTATTTTTTTACCAATTTCTGGCCAAAACCTGCCCGTTCGGAAGAATGGATTTGCTGAATGACCAGGGGATTGGCTTAAGAACCATGGTGACTTTTTATGACATGGTAAAAACCAGTGGTAAAACTGAGTCCAGTCATGTGGTGCCTCAACTTATGACGGCAATGACTTGCAGCCAAAATTCTGGCCCCCGGTTGTGGTTGTAAGTCGAGGACAACCTGTAACTTGAAGGCGCCAAAATGTATAAGAACATTAAAATGTTCAATCAAGATAAAACTAAAGCAACTAAAAGCTGTGTAGCAAATCCTGCAATATTCTGGGATGGGATATGAGGGCTAATTTAGCTCTGCTCTAACCAGATGGGAGATTTGGACTTGCAACATTGATGCCGGTGTTCCCAAGTAAAACAGACAAGAAACATGACTAGATGAGCTAACTCTAAGGTTAAGTCTGAAAGTACAGATCTCCCACTGTCTCCTTTACAGCCTGAAAAGTTAGGGAGGCTCATTTCTGAGTCTCTTTCTTTACCCATTATGCAGCTGCAGGCTATGCCCTCATTATCTGACCATTCTCTAGACAGCATGCTGGCTGGGGAATTCTGGGAATTGAATGTCTATGGAGATTCTCAGTCATCCAGCTCACAGTTGTCCTAAAGGTGCTTTTTTTTTCAAGAGACAACTGGACTTTTTTTGTTTTTCCTTTGACGATATTTGGCTTCTCATCCAACAAGCATGTTCAGCTCTGATGGATTGGTGGGGAATGGAAGGATGTATACAGCTGGTCATTTGCATTCTTTTAGCGAGTCGTTGAGGCCACCTGGAGGTTCATCAGGATCACCTGAGTAGTGCAAATGGCTGTGGAGCCTTGTTGGAACTGTTGAAAGGACTGTGTTGTGGACTGGAGATAG